ATAATGTTTCCTATCCAGAATGCCTTTGGTATATTTGTCTAAAGTTCCTCCATAAAGGAAACAATTCATAATATTTGTATCTAAAACATTAGACATATGAACACCCTAGGCCGCAGTTCGATGATCGATTTTGTCATCGTTTCACCGGATCTGGGACCGTATGTCTTGGACACTCGGGTGAAGAGGGGTGCGGAGCTATCCACTGACCACTACCTGGTGGTGAGTTGGCTCCGGTGGTGGGGGAGGAAGCCGGTCAGACCTGGCAGGCCGTATAGTGAAGGTCTGCTGGGAACGTCTGGCGGAGTCCCCTGTGAGACGGAGCTTCAACTCCCATCTCCGGCAGAACTTCGAACACGTTCCGGGGGAGGTGGGGGACATTGAGTCTGAATGGACCATGTTCCGTGCCTCCATTGCCGAGGCGGCTTATCGGAGCTGCGGCCGCAAGGTTGCTGGTGCCTGTCGCGGCGGCAACCCTCGAACCCGTTGGTGGACACCTTCGGTGAGGGATGCTGTCAAGCTGAAGAAGGAGTCCTATCGGACCTTTTTGGCCTGTGGGACTCCAGAAGCAGCTGATGGGTACCAGCATGCGGCATGCGGCTAGGGTGGTCACTGAGGCAAAAACCCGGGCGTGGGAGGAGTTCGGAGAGGCCATGGAGAAAGACTTCCGCACGGCTTCGAGGCAATTCTGGTCCACCATCCGGCGTCTCAGGAGGGGGAAGCAGTGCAGCACCAACACTGTTTATAGTGGGGATGGTGTGCTGCTGACCTCAACTCGGGACGTTGTGGGCCGGTGGGCATAATACTTCGAAGACCTCCTCAATCCCACCAACATGCCTTCTGTTGAGGAAGCTGAGCCTGTGGACTCCAATCTCTGGGGACGAGGTCGCCGAGGTGGTCAAAAAGCTCCTCGGTGGCAGGGCCCCAGGGTGGCAGGGCCCCGGGGGTGGATGAGATCCGCCCGGAGTTCCTTAAGGCTCTGGATATTGTAGGGTTGCGTTGGCTCGCGCGACTCTGCAATATCGCATGGATATCGGGGGCAGCTCCCCTGGATTGGCAGACCGGGGTGGTGGNTCAGAGAAACTAAAATGTAATTGCAATAGTCACTCTGCCCTGCGTATAACAGACATTACTTCAGCTGGCGAGAGAGGGGCACAGAGAGAAAGAGAGAGAGAAAGAGAGAGAGAGAGAGATGTGAAAGAGCAGTCAGACAGGGAAGGAAGGAGCAGGGAAAAGGGGAACACACACAAGGACAGAACAGAAAACGGCTGAAATAAAAAGAACGCAGGCAGGAGCGAAACTGGAGAAAGAAGAGAAAGAAGAAACGATGGGGATAAATGGAAGGTGGCTGCAGCATCTGTTGCCAAAGAGAGAAGCATGTTAGCGATTCAGACCAGAGCAGCGGTGCAGCCTGCAGTCTGCAGTGAGATGCACAAAACCTCTCCTGAATGGTAAGTGCCTGACTCCCCTGGCTGCATTCGGGTGATCGTCTCTGTAAACTGCTCTAAGCATGCCCGTTTTCAGACAAAGCAGTGAGAGGGTCAGCAATGGTATGGTGCATATGATTCTCGGCTCATCACCAGTTTCTATGGAGATTTCTCCTTTTGTTGTTTCTACATCAAAGCAAAACGAGAACCTTGGAATCCTGCGAAGTTGCAGCATTTTCAGGGCAGAAGCTTGATTTCTCAGGAGGATCTAATATCAGTCGAGTTGTTGAGAATGAAAAAGCTCAAACTTTGACAAACAAAATCAGGCTTTGCTCTATCAGACATATTAGGTGAGCTCTAATCACAACAACAAAAAAAACTCGTGGAAACTCTTGATCCAAATTACAGCGTCTGTCATTTTCTGTCTTTGCCACCATGTCAGCTCACTGAGGACAAACCTGCAAAACAGGATTGAGTGAGCATGACACACGGCTGCAGGTATGTGTTCATGCAGCTATGCAGACAACTGGTGGGAGCGCAACAAAACTCACCAAAAAGAAAAACGTATTCAGTTAAGAATGATGGAAAACATAAAGACATGCAGATGCTTAAATAATGAGAATTATTTTAAAGAAGCCATTCAGTTTCACAATAATAATAACAATACACATTTCTGTAAGAATTTATTATTGTTTATATTTAAGTACATTAAAGAAAAAAACATAAAGAAAGATAAAATCAAAAATACAGACACTCTACAACCTACTACTATCAGCTAGAAATTATAATTAAAGCTAATGAGGAGATTTATCATCTTCCAGCAGGAACAACAGGAATAGAAAATGAAAGAGAGCCTCACTTTGGTCAGATGAGCTTTTTCTGTTCTCTGGATTATTTCATCTCAGTCGTGGTTTTTGGATGCCTTGAAGTGATGAACTGAAAATGAGTTTCCAAAGGTTGATGAAAGCTTCCAAGACATGGAGGAAAATGGAGAAATCTAGCAGAAACCTTTCAAATATTCAAAGAAAAGCCTGATATGTAAACAAAGTAAATATTATTATAAAACACAACAGCTGTGTCTCTTTTATATGTGGATTTCTGTATGCTTACGGAACATTATGTGCGTGATATGTGATGTCTGCATTGATGTTTGGACAGTGCAACTGGATTACAGAACCAAAACTGTATTTTTAATAGATTGTGCTTGTAATGGGTGCATTTCTAAATGTCTTACACAAATAAAATTTCCTAGAACTAACTGTAGAGCAGAGTGTGCAGCTTGCACAAAGTAAGCAAAACTCAGATCAGCTTCAAACTGCAAGAAAAGAAGATTACAGTTCCATTATAAAATATTTTTATGTCATTCAGCTGTGGATAAACTGTGTTGATTCATATTTTAGACACAATCTATCTGGTATATTCTGAGGAAAGTGGCCTTCTCTACAACAAATATCAGCTCCGAAAGCTTCAATTTGTTATCGCTTCTCTGCTGTTTTCAGACTATGCAAACGGCCTTTAAGTACTTTTGCTTATATGAGATCCCTTTAAAAGACTATAATTATATTTTTACAGCATCAACTTCAGTTAACATTGAGAAATGGAAAGTCTGAACGACCAACCGTCACCTAGAGTAACAAAATGTTTCATTTTACAAACTCATTCTCTTTGCTTTGCAGATTTGGCAAAAGATCAGAGGAGATGAAAAAATGTTCTTTCACTTTGAGCTGGAAAATGTCTCCCCGGCAAAAACGAAACATTAAAAACAATAAACATGTTTTTATTTGCCTGTCTGGGTCTCATCACAGCACACCTGCATGTGACTGTCACCATCTCTGTCCCTATATACTAATGCAAACAGTTCTGTCTTCTTAAGCTATCCATCTTGTAGATCTTCAGTTTCATTTTGAAGAGCAACATTTTTCCAGTCTGCCATGTTAATAATCATGTTTAAAGATCAAATTCATCCAAGCTCTGTAATTTTTTCACCTCCTCAACATGCAGACATGTGTTGTTGTCATGGAAAATGTTAACACTGAACTCTTGATGGCATCTCATGATAAACACTACAGCCTGTGCCAGCAAAAAGTCACAAAGCTGCATATTTCAGAAAAAAAATCATTACAATCATTGCAAAAGTCTACATATGATGTGCTGATATGAAAACCAAAACACTCTTCAACACACAGAACACACTGTGCAGTTGAAACAGCAGTCGCTCTTTAGTTTAAATAAGTTTTAGGTCAGCTTTAGAGCTAGATTATTTGTAAATTACAGTAGCTTGCAAAAGCAGCTTAAAATGTTTCACATTTTGTCACTTTATTACAACCACAAACTTAAACCCAATCACATAGAAAGAAACCTTTTGTAAGTTTGGTCTCGTCACCTCTTCCACCTTTTTACTGCGTTTCCTTCACGGTTTGCATCAAACTTTAAACAGGATCTCTGCGTCTCTCTTACAATGACAGCTTTCTTCTTGCCACTCCATAAAAACCAGGTTAGTGAATCTCACATCTACTACTTCTGTCAACAGATCCAACCAGCTGAGCTGCGGGTCTCTGCAGCTCCTCCAGAGCATCTGGATCCCTGATTAATTATCTCTCATAATCTAACCGTGCTTTAAACTTCTCCCTCACTTTGTTATTTGACTTCTGAATATCTTTTGTGTTGGCCAGTAACATGCAACCCCTAAAGTTTGTGCTTGTTGTATAACAAGATGTGAATTCTGTGAGTCCCTGAGACCAGATGTTTAGTCAGTTTATGCTTTGTCTTGTATTTTATGACTGCTATTGTTACACTGAAATGTTTTCGCTGCACAGCCTGCGTAGCTACAGAGTGATGAATCTTAAACTTTAAAACATCGGTGAAGGGCTTCGTGTTAAACTCTGAGCAATATATTTCCTTATCTATGAAGCCAACTTTACAGTAAATAGTTTAGAGGAACATCTGCAGCCTACTGCTTGGTCTCAGCAGAAACCCACAAAGCCCTTCCAGTGTGAATCTGCTCCTTCCTGTTGTCTCAATATTTCTGATAACTGCATTTGTTTGACATAAAACCATATTGACCACGTCTGCAGTGTCAGGTTGCCTTGTCTGGAGGTTAACTCGAACTCAGACCTGACGTGATTACTAAACCAACAGATTTCCTCCAAGGTCACGCCTGGTTCTCAGGAGTCAGACTTTTAGAAAACAGCTCCCTCCTGTGCATGCATGCAGAAACACGGCCGGGACGTGAGCTCGCACACACGGCAACGTAGACTGAGATCCAGCAAGGTCGTCTCATTATTACAGCTCCACATACACGGCTGTCACATTGAGACTGCCCAGGTTATTGTATCCTAGCAACAGATTCAGGCATCGACCTTTTTTTTCGGTCCATAACAGGAGCACTGAAGCCAAGTGGTCCCTTTGTTTTCTCTCCCTGCTCGTTTTTGATCCTCTTCAGTGTCTCCACTTCTCATTTTCTATCGTCTTTGTCTAACTCAATCTTTCTCTCCCACTCTGACTCTTAGAATGAAGAACCTGCAGGTAAATAAAGCAGAGTTTTCATGAAGAGGTATGAGACAAGCCATTTATTTTACTAAACATTGTGCTGGTGGTGTTTGTGGTGCGCATGACATTGATTACAGAATAATTTAATTTATACTGTATTACTTTCTGATGTTAAATCATACAATTAATTTTTATTTATATTTGCTAAATGCCAGAATAATGAAAGAGATACTTTGCTTTTATCACTTCAGTCAAAATGAGAACACATACCACTGTTACGATGTGTTTAAACAATAGCGGAAAGTCCAGATGGAAAGTCCACATGATGATGTCATGACTGTGTGAGCATGTGACAAAGGTCAAAGGTGGATGTATTTTAAATACTCTGCTTCGTAGTGAGTGACATCAGGAGAAAATCAGGACATCAGGAAGGAAATGTTTGATTTTCATAACTCTGATTCATGTTTGGGTGTGATTTCCAGTTACCTGACGGTACCACCTTCATCTGTTCAAACTGTAAACACCACAAAAATGTTCAGCCAGGAGGAAGGAAACAGGTTCTGTAGGAGAGTGTGTCAGTATCCAGAAGCCTGCACCAATCATGCGAGCAAGGATGAAACCATTAACTATGAAGTAACCAATCATTATTATTAATTAGCCAAATTAAAACAGGTTGGATTTCTGATAAAATAATCAGTGTAAAAATACTACAACCTGTTATAATGAAGTTAGAGACTAGAGAGCCACATGAACAGCTGTGGGCTGGATTTGACCTTGTGTTTGATCTTTGGCTAAATAAAAACTTCTCTCACAACCTTTGCACTATTCATTTTAAAATCATAACTTTATCTCCTTCCTACATTGCTCAAACCAAAATCTACTCTCCACTGTAATTTTGCCTGCAGATGAAGGATCTGCTGCTAAGACTGATCTGTTATTATGTTGTATTGATGCTAAAAGGTTCAATAAACATGTTTGCGATGCAGCAGAGTATTTTTAAGGTCATGCCTAAAGCACAAAAGTCATCTATTGTACTTACTGTCTTACTGTAAGAAGTATTCGGCTTTCTGTCATAATCCCATTCGGGTTGGGCGCCTTTGGATCCATGCCACTCCCTAAGATTTTTTTAGTTAATGCATTAAATTAAATAATTATGTAATGATTACAATACACCCCTGTTTTTTAACAAATAATCCCTACAAGGCAATCATTCTCACTGAAATTCACCTACAATAGGTCAAATTGTTTCCTTTGATCAGTTTTATCTGCTGTAAAATAATGGGGAGATTTTTAAGTATTAACGATGTTTTGTTCCCTTTTTCAGACATTTTGCAATCATGAGAATCCATTCAGTTAATGGAAATGGATACAATTGTTTTACTGTGAGATCCATGACATGCAAGGGTCAAGTTATTATGGTAGCAATTAATCCATGTCGTTAAAATTAAGTGCTGCTTTTACTTTGATGCAACTGCTGCTAATATTAGATCAGACTGTTTGCAAACGAGTTAGCAGTTGCTTCCTTCCCCTTAATTTTATTTTCTCTTCTTCTGGTTTCTTTCTTTTGTTTCTTGGTACCTCCAGTTCTTTTCCTGCCTCCTGCGCCTGCGGCTGTCAGATCGAATCGCTGTTGAATCAGCCGAGTCCTGGTGTGCACTAAACCAATCTGCACTGTTTTATGAGGCTGACAGGGGCTTCTGAGAACAACCGTCATGATAGTTAGTGCAAAATTCAATCTTCCAACCACCTGACTCAGCAAAAGACATCGAAAGGGTTGTGATTTTTTCAGGGCTGTGAAAATTAACACTTTAATGCTGTGCTAATTTACACTCTACGTGTACTAAAAACCCCAAAATTATTTTACTGTTGTTGACAAAATAATGTAGCAAAGCAGAATTTTACATGCAGCTCTGAACAAATAAAAAGAATGAACAAACACCAAAAGGAAAGACATGAGTAATGATCCCCTGTTCTACATCAGCCCTAATAAAACATTTAGAACTCATTAACTAGGTTCATTATTTAGCAATTAATTATTAATTCACAGCAACCCTTTGATTAATCTGATATTTGAATGTTTGATGGCCCTGTTCTAATGCCCTGTATGTAAACATCTGCTTTCAGCTCAAATCATGATTTCATTGTTTTCCTTTTTCAGAGTCGTTTCTCACATTTCTGCTGGAGATCCCAATCAAGCTGCATCCCAGTGAGCTAACAACCAGATCGTCTGTTTTAAGTGTTTTGGGGGAAATTCACTTTACATTCCCAGCACTTGTTTAATCTTTTTTCATCATTTAGTTACACCTCTTGAGAGACTTAAAAGAAAATCAGCTTTAGCACAAATGATGCAAACTCCAGTCTCCATGGTGATGGGGATTGTCTTCGCTCCTCTGGGACTTGTCCTTGTCTTCACTGCCGCCATCACCCCTCAGTGGCGGGAGGGACAGGCTCGCCTGAACATCGGGGGGTCGGGATCTCTCCTTCGGTCCGGAGCAAAGGGTCACGGTGTGGGTGTCAGGTCCGGCTCGGTGGAGGCCCTGCTCCTGTTGCGCTCCGACGGCCTGTGGGAGAGCTGCTTACAGGTGGAGCAGTCCGAGCTGAAACAGTGCTGGCCCATAGCCGGCCCGTACCAGAGAGACGCCAGGGTTCGGATGGTGCAAGGCCTGGTGCTTACGTCCTTGTTCCTGTGCGGCATCGGAATTGTCCTGGCTTGCATCGGGGTCCGATGCTGGACAGATCTGCCTCTGAGGAGGGTGGCGGCTTCAGGCGGACTCCTGGTGGTGGCCGCCGGCCTTCTGAGCCTGACCGGGTTGGGGGTTTACACCCACAACCTCAGGAGACTGGGGGTGGATCCCAGTCAAGGACTCAACAACCCCAAGTTCCCCCAGCTCAGCCTGAGTCCAGCCGGGTCGCTCTACTTCGGGTGGCTGGGTTCTTGTTTACAGGTGCTGGGAGGCGGCGCGTTGTTGTTCAGCTTCAAGCGACCGAGATGTCCGACTTGCCCGTCCCGCCAGGAGCAAGCCGTCTGTCCTGCGTGCCACTCGTGTCCTGAAATGACCAGTAAGACCGACGTGGACGTATATGAGGTCAGCTGTTAGAATGTGAGCACAAAAAAAAACAACAAGTTTTTCTTCGATAATCGTCAGAATTAAATCGAACCAAGTTTGTGCGATTAATCAAAAAAAAAAAAAAAAAATCCAGATTTTCATTTCTCACAAGTTTTAGCCTTTTGGATCTCCGAAATTTCCACGTTTCATATAGAACATTTCTGAGGCCAATATCAAAATTTCTTATTTATTTCTGGCAATTTTTTGATTTTAGGGGCTCAAAAATGTTATTTTCATCTTCAAAAAATTCTGAGATTAATTTCAAATTTTCAGCTTTTTTTGTTAAAATTTACTCATCGTTCTATCTGCAATGGCTCTAAGATGTTGTATTATTCAGCAAGATACTAAAAAAGTCATATTTCTTGAGGGCTGTGAAAATTAGCAGGTTAATCCACCGTTAATTTTTTTGGGCCTGATTAATGCACAAGCTGTCAACAAAGTTCACAAATGTGCAAAAAACAGAAGTTTTTCACACAAACCTGCCAATGAAGGAAGTAAAATTTGGAGTAAATATTATTGCTGATCCATATTGGAGTCTCCTGACAAAATAAAGTTTACTGTAAATATAAATTGAAAAACGTTGCAGTAAGAAGTATCGATTTTTGGAGGTTTTTGCCTTTCTGTACATCAGTTTGAGTCAGAAAAAGGCTGTAGCCATGTCAGAGAACCAGTGTTAGTTTTTAGATGAGGCTGTTGGATGCTAAATGGTTTTAGACACTGGATTTCCTGTCTAATATTTATTAGCAAAAATGGACAGAAAACAAACGAGATGATCTGATGATGTACTTGTCAGTCTTATATCGCTGAGGCGATCAGCGATGAGATTAAGTGGTGATCAAGATTGTTTAGTTGTGTTTTTATCTGTTTGTAAATTCAATAAAACATTTGCAATGTGTTACGGGCAGCAGCCGAGGGAGGGGACCCTGGCGGTCTGATCCTCGGCTGCAGAAGCTGTGAGGTTTTGGCTAGAAATAGTTGGTCTCACCTCAACGCATGACTCTGGTTCTGGAACCAGTCTCCTTGAGAGGGGCTGGACGTACTTCCACTCTGGAGTTGCCCACGGTGGGAGGTGCAGGGCAGGAGTGGGCATATTTGTTGCCCCCCATCTTGGCACCTGTACGTTGGGGTTTACCCCGGTGAACGAGAGGGTACCCTCCCTCTGCCTACGGGTGGGGGGACAGGTTCTGACTGTTGTCTGTGCTTACGGGCCAAACAGCAGTTTAGATTTCCCACCCTTCTTGGAGTCCTTAGAGGGGGTACTGGAGAGTGCCCCTCCTGGGGACTCCCTTGTTCTGCTGGAGGACTTCAACACTCACGTGGGCAATGACAGTGAGACCTGGAGGGGCGTGGTTGGGAGGAACGGCGCCTCCTATCTGAACTCGAGCGGTGTTTTGTTGTTGGACTTCTGTGCTTGTCACAGATTGAATGGTCTCATTGGACCATGTTCCGTGCCTCCATTGTCGAGGCAGCATATCGGAGCTGCGGCCGCAAAGTTGTTGGTGCCTGCCGCGGCGGCAACCCTCAAACCCGTTGGTGGACACCTTCGGTGAGGGATGCTGTCAAGCTGAAGAAGGAGTCCTATCAGGCCTTTTTGGCCTGTGGGACTCCAGAAGCAGGCGGTACCAGCAGGCGAAGCGACATGCGGCTCAGGTGGTCGCTGAGGCAAAAACCCAGGCATGGGAGGAGTTTGGAGAGGCCATGAAGAAAGACTTCCGTACGCCTTCGAGGCGATTCTGGTCCACCATCCAGCGTATCAGGAGGGGGAAGCAGTGCAGCACCAACACTGTTTATAGTGGGGATGGTGTGCTGCTGACCCCAACTGGGGACGTTGTGGGCAGGTGGGCGGAATACTTCGAAGACTTTCTCAATCCCACCAACATGCCTTCTGTTGAGGAAGGCATGTTGGCATGGGGCATGGGGACTCTGGGTTGGACTCTCCAATCTTTGGGGACGAGGTCGCCGAGGTGGTGAAAAAGCTCCTCGGTGGCAGGGCCCCGGGGGTGGATGAGATCCGCCCGGAGTTCCTTAAGGCTCTGGATGTTGTAGGGTTGTGTTGGCTCACGCGACTTTGCAATATTGCATGGAAATCGGGGGCAGTTCCTCTGGATTGGCAGACTAGGGTGGTGGTCCCCCTGTTCAAAAAGGGGGACCGGAGGGTGTGCTCCAATTACAGGGGGGTCACACTCTTAAGCCTCACTGGTAAGGTCTATTCAGGCGTCCTGGAGAGGAGAGTCCGTCCGATA